TGGTTTTTTTTTTGGATTCGGTTACGGGGTCAGTTCGGAATAGTTCGGTCGCATTTGCATGAAGTTTGAAACGTGTTAGAATTAAATTTATGATTTACATCGGATTTTAAAATCGTTGCCGATGCGACGATTTCTAATGACTTGTTTGTTTTATTTAGATGAAACGCAGGGTTTTCTCATCTTTCCATTTATTTAAACCTATCAACAGTTATGCTACTTTAGATGTTATATAATGAACAACGCGACGTGATAATCATATTTCCAAAAAATTAATCTTTGATAGCTTTTATAGGAATGAAGTTTTCTCGAATAAATCGAGAATAAAAATTTCATTATTCGATGGACGAATCGTACCGTTTCAATTATACTATGTTCGAAAATAATTCAAATTATATATTACTGTAAAAAACTTAATAAACGATGAAAGCATCCAAAACTTACAAGAATAAATTACAATAAAGACTTATTTATTAATGTACAAGTCTACACGATCGTCTCAAACAATCCAAGATTCATCTTTCTATCATCATCAGTGACAAGACTGAAAAAATAATGAAACCATCCGATACTCGCGAGAAAAAATTACAACAAAGACTTATTTATGTACTCAAAAATCTGTAAGACCTTACTAACAATCCAAGATTCTTCTTCTCATTATTATTACTAATAGTGAAACTTCAGAAATACTAAAACCATTCACAACTCACAAGAAATAATTACAGTAAAGACTTATTTATCTATTCGAATCTACTGGAACTTTTCAGGGAACTCAGCGATTCTTCTTCTTGTTATTAAGTTCAGATAGAAGAGGTTGTCGAATTAGCGAGAAAACAAAGAAATTCGAGCCACGCTTCTTCGGGGAAGCGAAGTATTTCATTACCCGAATGGCAAGTTAATTCCCGGTGATCTTAAGGCTGATTTACGAGCGCCCCATCTTGGAGCAAACAAACCCTCCCGGAAACAGAATTCATTCGCAACTCAGTGGCGATGCTGTTAGAAAATGCAAAACGGCCAACTTCGCTCGGAAGTTCGCGAACAGTGGCGGAATCGTTGTGCGGCACGGCCTGCGCTGAGTATACGGGTCGACGGCAGGGATCGAGTTTCGGTAATTGACGCCGGCCAGAAACGCGAGACGGAAATTCGATCGAAAAATCTGCACAGCTCTCTGGCAAGAAATTAGGACGCGCTCGCGCGACCCGAAGAAATGAAATCCGTCTCGAGTTTCCCGCGGATTATGTGCAAGTTTGTTAATGGATTCGAACGGTCCCGGATTCGGGAATGATACAAGATGGGTAATGGAAAACGATTTTATATCGAGTGTTTTATTTAATAGGTTATCTCTGTTGTAAACTTATTTTGCAAAAACAAGAAGAAACGGAAATTTGTTTTCGAAGAAGTTCGTTGTACGATGTTCTTGATTTTGATACTGTTATAAAATTATCTTGATGATATTCGCAGAAAGTGAAAAAATATTTGAATGCGGGTATGAACAAAATATATAGTTCAAATAAAAATATCAAAGTGATCCACACTAACAGAGATTAAATTCTCGATTGGATCGAGGAGTAAAGCATATATTCGAATTTTAACCCTTTGCACTCCGAATTTCTATTGCATTTTTCCTCGAAAACTCTGTATCATTATGATATTTTATTTGAAATGCATTTTAAAACATAGATAGTTTATGAAGATAACATAATAATATAATCTATTTTTAAAATATCTTGACAAAGAAGCACATCTGTGAATAAAACTGATGTCGAGTCACGCTCGACATAGGAGCGCGAGGGGTTAAACAAATTTCACAATAAACAATCCCAATAAACAAAAAACTAAAACAATCTGTATCAGTCAAACAATAATATTAATCCTATGATCTCTAACCACGTAAAGTTCATTAAAAAACGAGGAGTTCGCATGAAATTCGAACGTATTCTTTACCATTAACCCTATTTAGAAACACAAATTCTGCTACCAATCAACATTCATTCATATAATTAATTTACCGTATTCAACGCGAAATTTTTATAATTTCTTTACTACTGGAACCTAACCCAGTTACTATTCATCTCCCAAAAATCGTACTCACTGTCCATTCGAAAATGGAAAGACAAAGGAAAGGAAGACGGAAAATAATTGAACGTCGCGTATTTCTCGATCGATCGCGAGGTAATCTAAGATCTCAGCCGTGGGTTTCGACATCGAGTAGCCTTTCGACTGATTCTTTCCCCTCTTTTTTGTCCTCCTTGCCCCTGGAGACGACAGGGTGCGGCACGATTGTAGCAATTAGCGGCTAATTGCCGTTGCCTCGAATCGTTCGGTGCCTGGAGCGGTCCTCGAGAGCGTTTCCTCGTTTCCTTCCGTCTCGCGCGCACCGATTTTCCGTCGATTTATCATGCACAATATAAACGATCCTCGAGGAGTCCCTCTCGAACCGTAGGCGAGTAGATACACGACCAACCCGTAATCCCGAGCCACTTAAAATTTAATAAGCCTTGTGCGCGGACAGATGCGAGACCTTTCGTTAAAAGCGAAATACTAATTTCGCAGAGATGAAAGCCGGCAGCCGCCGTCGCTCGTTTGCACCGTTTTAATCCGGCGTCGTGGAAACTTCACCCGGCATCCGCGTGTTCGGTTTAACCCCTTTGACATACAATATCGAGCCAGACACGCGACGAAGTTCTCGAACGGAAGTGGCAAAAATTCAGCTCGAATATTTTGAGTTTGTACCGAATACTATTTTTTTTATGATTAACACTAAAACCACTCGACAGGTAAAAATTACCTATTCCTGATGTCTTCTTTTTGCAATTGTTAAAAAGATAACAGATGTTTCTCTGAGAAATTATTAAAAAAATTGTTTCAGCAATACAAAAACTGAATTTTAAATCAATTAAAGTCTCAATAAAAATACTTTTGACTTTTTGATATTCCTCTGTAGAAACTCCAAGAGTACTTTGGATTTTAATTGCTAATTTAACTGCTCGGTAGTTTTAGTGTTAACTGTTGTGTTCTGAAGGAAACTTACCTATAATCTAATATAATTATAATATAAGTAAATTTCACTTTCTTTTTTTCGAAAGAGTCTGGGAAATTGAAAAACAGAGGAGATTCGTGTAAGCTGTTATACTACTTACAAAAGCAAGGTCTAATTCTTTCTGGCCGATTTTTTAAAGTCTTGTCGTTTGTGTCAAGCGCATTGACCAGCAACAGTTCAAGTACCCGGTACATACAATGACGTAAAAATTGAAAATTTACATAAATACAACTTCTGTAACTGACTAAATAAATAACTATCTAAACTCTTTAATTACTTATACGATAATATAATTCGTACAAATAAATATATTAATCTTGTGGGAACACAATACATCGATTGATTTTCTGGAACGTCTTTGCACAAGACGTACAAACGGACGAAACGAGGGATCGAAAAATTTTTCCACAATCCACACACCATCAGCTTCATAATTGTGCGACATTTAATGAAACCGCGACTTCAATTTCAATAAATAAACCGACCGTCGCCGGGCCAAAGAGGGAAAGATAGAGAAAGAGAGAGAGGGGGAGAAAGAGAGAGCGTCACTGGCCGCCGGATTAATGAGAACACGCGACAGACACGTTAATTAAAACAGATTGTCATTTTTCAATTTCCATCCGGCCGAGCTCGTTCCCGTCGCGGACGAATTTATTTCGGCCTCTATCTTTCCGCCAGCTCGAACAACTCATTTCGGCGAGAACTGAAAAATGGAAAAATAAAAGGAAGAAGG